TTGAATAGTGGACGGTTTGGCGGGCCCAAATAGCCCGGCCCACTCCTTTTAATTCCGCTAGATAATGAGACTGTATAAATAGATAGAGAATCGTTCTCTGTCTAGGGGTTTTTTCGATAGAGTATCGAAAATCAAAAGGCGTTCAAGAAAAGGAACTTCAAGATCTTTCGCTAGCACGTGGATCGTTGGAGAATTCCGTTCGTGTGTGTGGATACCGGTAGAGGCGCAACGCTTGGGGCGCTCATCCAGACACAATCAGTTGCTGATTTATCTTCGATCTGCAAAAGGTACGTATCGAAATTCCTTTTCGATTTCAATATACGCATGGATCCTGTCTAGGGTTCTATATTCCACTGCGTTGTTACTGTTAATGAACCCTACAGGAAGCCCTCGCCCGACGCCGGCGGGCAGCCTTCGCCCCGCCCAGGCGAGGGCAGCCTTCGCCCCGCCCAGGCGAGGGCAGCCTTCGCCTCGCCTGGGCGGGGCGAGGGTCCCTCGCTCGACGCCGGCGAGGCAAGGGCTGCCCTCGCCCAACGCCGGCGAGGGCAGCCCCTGCCGGAAAAAAGAAAAAAAAAGCAGAAAAAAATAGAAAAAGGGAAAAAGACTAAAATGCCCTAGGCTATAGTATATTGGGGTAAATGTGTCACAAGTTGCATAGTTTGGGGTTTTTCATGACACAAAAAAAAGTTCGGGGTAAATGTGTCACAAGTGGTAAAGTTTGGGGTTTTTTGTGGTTTTTTCCCCTAAGTTTAAATACGAATGCAATCTAGATAGACCAAAATTCACTAATTCCTCGTTGATAACATCTTTGTGTCCCTCACGTTGATATTTCCATAAATACACATTACATATTAGATAATGTAAGGGCATAAAATGTTTATCTATTTTCAACATCTATGGTTAATAATTCAAAGTCGCTATTGTCAATATTTAGTTGATAATTCAAATTCGCTAAAGTCTTCTTATATACGAATATGATGTCAAAGCTAAAAATCACCCAACCAAAATCTTATAAAGTTTATAATTGAAAACATTTATCAAGATACTAATAAAGAAATTACTATTTATTGTATATGTAGATGCCTATGATCTTATTCTTTTGTGGAAAATTGTTCATGGATAAAATCACGGTGGTAAAATTCACAATTAAAAACGTTAAATCGAGAGTTTTTAGATAAATTATAGAAGCTATGCTTGAAGTGGGTCCCGCATAATTGTTTGTTGCTTATCCTTTACCAACTTCACGGCCTTAAGGTGCGTGCAATGAAAATGTTTCATTCAATTGAAGATGCACCAGATAGGGTATGTAAGTTGACAAAGTAGAAAGGGATAATAACTAGTCCATGAACTTTGATTTAACATGCAATCTAGTCCATGGATTTTTAATTTATGTAATATAGTTCATGAATATTACATATTTGGCCAAATTTCAAGGGTTACATATAAAATATTAAAAATTCAGGGATATCATTGCACGTTAAGCCGAAATTTATGAATTATTTATGTCAATTTCTCAAATAGAAATCCAGTGCATCTCCAATTGAGTCATTTTCCCAAGTAGAAATCCAGTGCATCTTAATTTGGAGTTGTATATCACAGTCTCTATTTCTTGGAAGATGCGTATTCTTTCTAAACGTGGAGGTGAGTACATAGGGCAAGCATGTAATCTCATAGGCTTGATTGGATAGATAAAAGGTGTATTCAAAAATGCACTTGATGAGCAGTAGCGACACTTGTCTTTAAGGCAAATGGACAAGGGTAGATTCCCCTTGGAGAGCTCGAAGGACCAATTAAGCATATGCACTAGGAAAGGTGTCTGGGTGCTCCGCACACAGACTAAGTTACAGTCAAATAAAGAAAATCTAGTCACCACGGCTGTCGTTTTCCAATGATAAATGGGTCATGCTATTTTTCATGAGATCACAAATTCAAATATATCGTTATGGAGTATCTTGCTAACTTATGCCTTGAGCATTGCTATCTCATGCAAAGAAACTTCCTGTCTTCTGACACGTCAGTGGGCTTGCGACGACCGACTTGTATACCTGTAGATGGATTGAGTAGCTATGCTCCAACTCAACATTCCATGTCGGGTTTGCCTCTCCACCCTTTGGCTTATCCAAAACAGATTTCTGTAACATATGTGAGACCCTTATGTGCATTGTTCATCCCTTTTCACCATTTCACTAATTAAAAAGAAATTATTAATACCATAAAAAAAATCTCTAATTGGTATTTCCGTGTCACATTTACCCTAAATTGAATTTCATGTCATTGGAAAATCTCAGACTGGTGCACTCGTGCAACGTTTATCCCAAATGTATCATAAAAAAAAAAACTCAAAGAGTACAACTTGTGTCACATTTATCCCAAAAATTAGTTTGAGTAAATATGGCGTGGATAAAATATTTTGGAGGTAAATATGGAATAAATGTATCAATTTGAGATTTTTGGGTGAAATCGGCGAAATAAAAGAAAAGGACCAAAGCTCATCTCAACTTGGATTCTTCGTTGGGGACCCTGAAAAGAGAGTGGGATTTGACTTATCTCAGACATCATCTCCTCGTGTTCTTCAAAGAAGACCTTGCGCATCTGGATCTTTCGTTTTAGAAGCAAGAAATCTGACTTGTCGTCCCGAGCATTGAATGATCCTAAATAGAGCAAACACTTGCTACAATACTACTCAATTTGAATTATAAATATTGAGCCCAATTTCTTCTCCTTCCAAAGAGAAATCCGTCGTGGTCTGCAATCTATCTATACCACATGTATTGTTTGACATATTTAGATCATCTTAGATTATTTACGATATTTACGATATTCCCGATATTTATAATATTCTTAATATCTTTGTGATTGATTGTAATTGATCGTGTAATATTTTGTTACCGTAGATAATTAACCTGTAAAGCCTAGAAATAGGCTTCAGCACTCATCTTTTCATCATCAAATATATAGAAATTCTTCTCTTCTGCTTTAGTTTTAACTTGGTATGAAAAAGTAGTCTGTTTCCAGACATTTTAAATTCCCAATTTCATGTTGTCATGCAACCTTTCTTAACTCGATTATCATAAATATGCTAAAGTTGAAACCATTGACTCATGATCAATTTAATATATTATCAAGATAAATTATCAAGAAAATATCACAACAAAAACATTATTACTATATATACATATATTAGATAAATAAGAAAAATAGATGGGTATTGAAAGGAAACCTAACTTATTTTAGAAATAAATGAATATATAATTGCTCTGGAGCATCATAAGTAATCTTGTTTCAAAAGGTAGAGATGTCAAGTTATTCAAATTTGAAATATCTTTCTTTATTTGAGATTAGATACACGATAAAATTAGCCGTTAAGACCACCGCCCGCAGCGGCTGCGTTGGCTTGCGCTCTAGTCCCCCCACGAAGGGATCAGAGTTCGAACCCCAGCCTAGTCGTTAGGGATTCTTAAGTGTGGCGCCGTGGTGGTGGGTCCTGCGCTAGCGTCACCCCAGGTTTACCCCTCCGGCTGTCGGCCGTGCGGGGGGTTCCTCGGTTATAAAAAATAATAATAATAAATAAAATAAAATTAGCCGTTAAGGATAACAATACAAACGCACACAGCCAATCGTTCGTTGCAACGAAAAGTATTCATCGGTCGTTTTGTACATAAGTTTGTAACATCAAATGGTAAAATTCAAACCATACTTTGTAATTTTATACACATACACGTTTGTACCATGACTTACACATCTAGGGAATACGTTATGCAACATGCCGTACATTGGATTTTTCCAAGTACATTGATACAATAATGACGCACAACTTTCAAATACTCTTGCAGAAAAAGCCTTGGGAGGATGCATGGCAGCATCATTTGTCTTTGTCAAGGATTTTGACAAGATCAATGACGGTCTTCGCAAGACGCAAAGAATAGTCATGCAAGGAAATTACAAGGAAGACGAAGGTACTGTTGTTTGTCCTAACATTTAGTCAATGCTAACATCCAAAAATCTAATAAATACAAATCCTTGTGACCGACCCATAAAAAGAAAAATTTTCGATGAATCATGATGTGACCGACCGACGTGATCAAAATGCTAGCATCTCCAATGCCTCCAATAAATTAAAATACACAATATATATAGGATATTTGGTCCAAACGCTTTCTTTGAAAACGCTAACACGTTGTATATTCATGAATTGTTACGAAACAAAATTAAATGCGTTAATTGTCGATGCACAAACCATAGGGTGGTAGCACTGCTTGGAAGCAATTCTTGAAACCTAGGACTGAATGAGTGTAATCAAGAAACTTATGCAAGATAACCCTACTCACGGGAGAAGATGCATTACCTCTAGATATGATCCGGCCAATATAACTATGCAATTTTTGGGTTCTTGAGCCCAAATGGACGTGCTCAAAGCAATTCCCTCCGGCAAGAAAGTGAAACCAAGTTCAGGCCCAAAGAGAAATTAGCTCAATTTTGTCTTGCTCGAATTACTTGATCGAAAAGTTTCTATAGGCTCGAACAACTTGTAAGGTATCCTTTGCTCCCTCATGCTCTCGACAATAGTTCCAGGAAGTAATTACCACATGTACTCTAATCCATCTCGTTTTTTTTAAATTAATTAGGATTAACAACAATCAACCCGACAAAAAAAAAAAAAACGCAAGAAACGACATCGAACCCTCGTTGTTTGCCAAACCTTGGTCGATCTAATAAATCCGAATGGTAATCTTCTTGTTGGGATCGATCAGAGTTCCTTTTCGCGTCCAATTTGTCCGGATATTCGCACGTGAAGTCGAAAGTAAAACACATTAACGAGAAGGTTGCAGAAACGAGATCCTATTCCATGCAACAGGCGACACCGAATCCGAATCCGAATCCGAAGGGCCGTGGATAGGCCCGCCCGACCCGAACGCACCCGTACGACGCGGCGTCGTATCCGTTAGAGCAGTCCTCCACAATAACGCCGCTCAACCACCACGGACGAAAAACAGCAGAGCAATCAGAGTCCTACTCCGTCACGTCCTCCTCTGCTTTACTCATTCGAACGCGAACACGAGGACGACGGCGACGGTGACGGCGACGGCGGCGGCGGCGAGAATGGAGGTCCCCGGCTCGATCGCCGTCGACGACCGGCCGACGGTCATGGTCACCAACGACGACGGCATCGACGCCCCCGGCCTGCAGTCCCTCGTCCGCGTCCTCGTCGCCTCCGGCCACTGCAACGTCCAAGTCTGCGCTCCCGACTCGTACGTCGTTTGATTTTCTTGAATTTCTTCGTATTTTTTCGCCTTCGCATGCTTGCGTACGTGAACGCGGTAGAGCTCGATCGTCTTCGCGTAGGCACGAGTTTCACGAGCTGATGATCGAGTCGCGACCTTCGATCTTCTGGGGTTCTGTTTCGCGGCAATGTCGAAGTGTTGTTCGGCTGAGTAGGCTCCGCGGCTGCGAGTTATGGCGTGCTGTGCTCACGTGAAATTCATCTCCGTGCTCGCTTGTCGGCGTTATTCGATGAATGTTGTTAAGATCACCGTGTTAGTTGCTCTGAAATTCTGATGGTTTTTAATTTGCTACCGGAATTCCTGTTACATCACTCGTGGAGCTGTCGATTTTTCTCGCTAATTTTCTTTTACTTCCCTCTAATTTGTCGAATCCACAGGGAAAAATCGGCTGTTAGCCATAGCATCACATGGCGTCACCCTCTTGCGGCTAGGCGAGTGAACATTGAAGGTGCAGTTGCATTTGCAGTCTCAGGTTTGTTGTGCTTCCTATTTGTTCCTATTTCGCGATCGTTTTCGGCTTGCGATATGTCGTTGCAAGATGAAGATTGTACCTTTCTTTGATTCTGCGCCTTAGTCTTACTCCAGGATTTGAAATGCTGGCTGCTTTTTAGGGGGATATACATGTATATGGAAGAGGCAATTTGCCGTATGCTCTAAAAAGAGGCCTGGATACGTAACATGGTAAAAAAAAAAAAAAACGGAAGAAGAATGATGTGCATGTACATAGTCCAGGCGGAGATTGAATATTTGCAGAATGTGAGGATAAATAGTTTGCAAGAAGCAAGAGAGTTTGTTTTCTGAAAAGTATCTTTCCTTTCCAAATCGGAAGACTCAAACCTTGTTCCTACTTTTCTCAATTTACTATTGCTAATTGTCGTAATTGATCTTTGAAGCTCATAGGAAGCTTTGTGTCACATTACAGAAACCGTAAATTTTTACTTTTTATTGCAAAAGTGCTAGTTTATTCATTTTAGATAAAGAATGGAGGGTGATGCGTCTGGGGTAGCACCTAGATGAATTGCTGATGTTGCATGGCAAGTCTGGCATACTCTCTTTTTTCTTAACTTCATATATATATTGTTTTTATCTTGAGGTAACTACATTTTACGTGTGAATAAACTAGCGCTTTTGCAATTTACATAGTCCAGATGACATTTTATGATGTTCTTCTTGCTGAACCTCTTGTCAAGAATTTTATCACCATTAATCAGCATTAAAGAGAACTGCTCAATAATAGCCTTTGGTTTTCAACAAATACTCCAAACAAAGTTGGAGAGGCCCCGTGGTGGATTCCATGTTCTCCCAGTAATGGCTTTGCATTTTGCAGGGACACCAGCAGATTGTACTTCATTGGGAATCTCTAAGGCACTTTTCCCCTTGGTCGCTGATCTGGTACTTTTCAGGCTATACCGGGTAGTCATGACTGCATCAATGAGCATGAGAAAATTATAGTACAAAAATTTAGTTTGGCTAGTTTTTCTGTCCATCAACTCTTTCTGAAAGAAACGCTTTGCCTCCTGTGAAGAGATTTTGTCACAAATTTTGAGATTCTGAATTGCAGATTCAGTCAATCTGTTGTATGAACAGACTGAATCTGGGATAAAAAGGCACTGACAATATGGTGATAAGCACCACAGGCAGAGCCCCTTACTGTTCTGTCATCGATACTTTATGTGTTGAAGTGTTTTTACTTCATGAGGAAGTCGCAGTTGCTCTTTGTTTGATTGAGCCCTCTTGTTGTTCTTTTTGTGCTGCACGACTTGATTTTGTCAGTCTCATGCATTCCTCTCATCTCTGTGCAGGTAATCAGCGGTATTAACATGGGTAGCAACTGTGGATATCACATGTTAGTGCAATTTTGCCTTCTTTGTCTCCACAGGTTTTTAATTATTGCAATTTTATTCTAGATATTTTCTTCTAAGTTACTCATCTTGCTCCTGCTTATTATTCATCCCTAAGTTAGGAAGATAATAATGAAGCAGAGTCACATGGACCTTCCTTGTTGTATAAATAACAAAAAAGTCGCAAAAGAAAAAGAAGACTTCTTGGGAATGAGATCACTGCTTAATTTTAAGATTGGGAAGAAATGGTCAAAACTCTACAACCATCGAAAGATGAATTTCATGTCAGAGCCACTAAAAAAGACATTCATATCATGACTACTGCTTAAATACTTGTATTAAACAGTTGTCTGAAATATTATTATAGATTAGGACAACTATTTCTACTAAATAGTAGAAAGAGCATAATGAGTTGTATCCAACATACAAACTCACAATATGCAACACGAAGTTTCTGTAAAGACAGGATGCATAAGTATCTGATTCTGCACATCATAGGATGCAGAGTGCAGTTCTCTGTCATATTTTTTACACAGTTTTAATTAGAAAATCTTAGGTTTTTCGTTCTTCAAGCCATGTTAAAGGTCAATATATGTGGTCATTGGTTGAGTAGAACAAGGAATGATGTGATTATTTTACATTGCTTGGCAGCTTAGCCTCTCAAATAATTGTATAGGTATTTTGTTTTCTTGAATTACGATTTGAAAAATCGAAACTGATGCATTTGTCTAAACAAGAACTATTAGAGAGAATGACGCCTGGCAGTCAATAGGTGTTCATTATATCCATTAAAATCCTTGCCCTTTCTTATGATTTTGGCTATGTGATATTGCAGTGTTTATTCTGGCACAGTTGCTGGTGCTCGCGAGGCATTCTTAAATGGGGTGCCATCTATTTCAATATCATATGATTGGTGGGCATGCCGTTATACTAATTGCTTCTATCAAGGCCATCTCTCATTTAGTTCCTATTCATCCTTTGCCAAACATCCTCATTTCTCTTGCACAGTAATATTTTGTATTGGAAATCCAGGGTTGGAGGCACAAGCAGCGTGCAAGACTTCACATTTGCTGCTGAGGCTTGCTTGCCTATTATTGGTTCAATTTTGTCTGAGATCAAGAAGAGCAGTTATCCCAGAAAATGTTTCTTGAATATAGATCTGCCAACGGATGTTGCAAATCATAAGGTAAAGGGACTGCTGCTTTTTTGGGGAAACGTGAAATGCCTTAGCTGTTTGGATGTGTCCTCTGGAGCTTTTGTCTCTCTTTAATTTATTCTTCGGATAACTAAAACAGTCATTGGCTGGTTAGCATTGTCTTAAGGTGGTAACATTCTCCATTTCATGTACCCACAAAAGGGCTATAAGCTCACTAAGCAGGGTAGAAGCATAATCCAGATGGGATGGAGACCAGTGACCTCTGACATGCATGGAGGGAAGATGTTATCGACAATGACAATGGATGTGGATTCGGTCGTGTTGACCGAAGCAGATGCATCAACTATGTCTCAGGAACATCTCTTATTTAAGAGAGAAGTGAGAATCTTAAATTTGATTTGTTGTACTTTGGTATTTGTCGTATATTATGCTTTTTTGATTGATTCAATGTTTTGAATGGGGTAACTTATGAATATGCTTGGTTTTTTCTTTAATGAAGTCTTAAAATTTACCGTTCTGCGAGAATCTCTGATAAATTATCACATTAATTTTGATATCAGGCTACGAAAACAAATAACACTTGCATGATTCTGTTGTGTTTGTCATATTTTGGTTTTGTTATGTATTAGTTGAAAAGAAATTTTTTCAAATAAAATCTAACTTTTATTATAAAGATGCTTTCTTAAGTATTCTTACACTTGAAGTATACTGATTGTATGCCTCATGCTCTAAAGATGCTTTCTGAAGTCTGCTTACACTTGAAGTTCATTGATTTTGTAAGGCTTTAATTAATAATGTTTCTGTTTGAAATTTCTAGGTAATAGGAGGCCAAGCTGATGATGATGCTACAGATCATCGATCTCTGAAGGAAGGATTTGTATGTAGGCTGCTCTATTTAATGGAATCATATTGATTGAGCATAGGACATAACTAATACATGATTTTGCCAGATCACTGTTACGCCTCTTGGTGCTCTTTCCCCAGCGAATGTGGAATGTGAGGCTTTTTTAAAGGATTGGCTGCCAAATGTGGCCTAATGCCCTTCCCTGGCTTCCTAACGCCGTTAGATGCCTTTGGTGACTAATACATATGAGTTGAGGTTTGTACCTTTCCATTTGTTACATAGTCTGTTAAGAATTTTTTTATTTCTTTTGATGATCATGTTATTCGTGAAGTGCATCTATGGCATCATATCAGATGGAATTAGGCATGGATGGAGATAGTTTGCAAGCATTCTCGTTTCTTTTAACCCTTTTTTTAGCTTGATGAATTTACTTTGCTTGGTTCCAGTGAATAATTTCTTTGGTACTTCATGCTACCTAAGTTTTGATATTGTAAATAAACGTAAATAATTTTAAAGAACATTGGAAAGTTAAAAGCGGAGTTTTTCTTTAAGTTTATACCAGAAAAAGAAAAGAGTAGCGAGGACAAACTGATTTATCAGTATATCTGTATTCGACTATCTTCTTTTGTCAGAGAGTTTTCTTATGCAGTAACAAGATTTTTGGTCAAAAGTGGAAGCTTTTCAATTTGTGGCTTGATGAAATGTTGAAGGGAAATCATCATGACAACCATTCTTATACATAAGTGTATGAATATCTGTAGTATTAATTCCAAACATTTCTTGACACTCATTTAGAGCATTTTAAGAGTCGTTGAAGTTGCAATTCGAACAGCGCCCCACCAGGTGTTAGCACTGTCAAACTTAGACTAGGAAAAAATTCATGAATGCACTTCGTTCATGGACATCTTTGACTTAAGATTTACGCTTGCATGAACTTTGACCATTCAGGTTCACAAAACATTAGCTTTTCTTCTTTTGATGTCAGAACTTATAACTCTTGTGGTAATGGTTCTTATTTTGTCGACTTGCAATTTTCATTTATGAATCACTCACCAGAATTAGCAAGAGACAACAGTTATCCCATACTTATGATGTAGAAGAAGAACATTGTCCTGATTTCCAGTCATCTGCAGCCTGTGCACTGATCTACCGTCGATACGAAAAGTATGTATGAAGACTGAAGAGTCAATAGAGAGTGCATATTTGTATAAAAGAATATCTGAAGCACTTGTATTTCTTTTGTCTGTCATTTTTGCCCTCAACAGGATAGGCTAATTGAATCTCGATAATAAATGTTATCAGTTGCTTTGTGCAGAAGTTTGGTTTGATTAGAAGAGTGATGAAGGTTCTTGACTTCTTGGATTTGTGCTTAGACCTGAATCCGAATCAGATAGAACGACCTGAATGTTTGGATATTCATGGGCATACGTACATAAATAAAATATGGAGATAGGAGTTCTTGTGCTTACTCATATGGCATAGCTTCTATGATTTCACGACAAAGTGGAATTTCAGAAAATATGGAGACTAAACTAGAGAATGATTAAGCTAGGAAACTGTGGTCCTTACCCAAATGTTCGCAACAGGGAAAATTGTCAGAAATTTAAACGAGGAAACCTGTTTCTTGACAATCAGTTTTCGAACGAGAAGCGCACCTGCATGGCTTTGCTCTCCTTTGGATTGAGAGGCTTGGGAAGGCTAACTAGTACAAAGATCCAATCCTATCCCAAACATTATGGTAGTCCGCGGAAGCATTCGTGTTTAATGTAACCACGTCAGGAATTATAATAACATCTTAAGCGACATTTAATCCTCAAACTTATAAATCTGCATGGAAATAGCTGTACAACTGTATGGTGTCTCACTAGAAGACTAGTAAGTAATCTCGTACAAATCTATTTACCTTAATATAGATTAACGAAGATACATCAAAATATCTCGTCATATTTCTATAAAAAAAATCATAATGTAGTAAACCATCTTGCCATCACGTAATCTCCTGCAAACCCCTAAAATTAGTGTACTGGGTTCCGTGCTTTCATTTACCATCTAAATAATTATATCAATGGTACAGGCATAGATCTCATATTTTGGATAGTCTTTTTTTGCCTTCTTCACTCTAGTGAAAAGTAGCTTTCTTCCTTTTGACACTGCAGGGGCAAAACACCCAGAAAAAAAAAAAACATTAATTCTCGGGTTCAATTTCTTCCATAACCAAATGAAGAGACATTCCCTTTATATTTTTTGGCTGAGGTGAAGATGTTAAATGAAATTTAAGATCGAACGCTTAAAATAGCATGTCTATATAAATAGGGTATCAATCCAACAGTTTGCTTTAATGGATATAAAAAAAAAAAACTGTTTGCTATTTTCTGTAGTCTCTTTCTTTTTAACATGAAATTTGCTCATATGTGCAGGATTGCTTCTCTATGTGGAGAGTATATGCTTCAAACTCAAGTTATTGTCAAGGTTATTCTTTTTTTAAGCCATGTCTTGTGCCATCTCTTTGCCTGGGGATCTTAAGCTCAGGTAAAAGTTGTCAATGTCAAGTAAGAATGGTACAAGCTTTCAATCTCCCCAATTAATACAAACAGGGGTATGTTCACATTTGACTATTGAAAATAATAGCATCTTCCCAATCCAATTTATGTGTAGGATTGATCTGAATGTTGCCCTGCTAAAATTTATTACCCTGTTCTCTGTAGTTTAGGTTCAGATCTGTGGTAGTATTAGGAGGACTGCGCTATTATGGAGTTGTTTTTCCTTCTGATCTGTATTAGCTTAATCAGATCTTCCTTCTCATTCATGAAGTACTTTAAAAGGAGGGGAAATCTTTCAATAAAGTCGCGCGTGCGCTACATGGCTCATATCTGTATGAGCATGTCGTGTTTGGTTAAATGGAAAGGATGCCGCATTCAAAATTTGAGAAAAACAGAAAATCTAGTTAGTCAATGTATTAGGAATTGCTTTATCTTTCCTTTGGAATTACAAGTTTCTTTATATGTAGTTATATAATCATTAGACAATGACTCCATACAGCTTTTCATCTACTCGAGTGTTGTCTTATATGTCGAGTCACTGTAGGCCTGCAAGATTTTTGGCAGTCAAATGATTAATAATGATGTCGAAATACTTGCCGGTACCTAACTTACGCGCACGTGCTTAAAGCCAATAATTAGAAAAGCTTGTGCTATATATAACCTTGCTTCAAAAGATGTTGAAAGAAAGGCCTCCATCACCTTACGCTTACAATTAGTATGCATACATGAACCGACATAAACTGACAAGTGCCCTCTTTCTTATTTTCTCTGTTCTTTTTCGCTTCTCAAAATTCATGTTTTATGTTTATGGTTATCTCGCATTGATTGCATGATGGATTATCCCCCTTTCGGGTCTGTAGATGGAGTTTCATCTTGTCTGCTGTCTATCTCTATTTCTCTTATGGAAACGAAACTTTCTTCTCTGGACATATAGCGTTTCTCATCAGTCGCCTGTTTTTCTACTGGCTCTAATCTCCACTATGAAGCTTGCATCCTACAAATGTGCAGATTAACTTTAACAGGAGACTCGGTGAGATCTCTTTATGCTGATTTTGGTTATTTCAATACAAAACACGTCACGGCCTTCTAATTTCTCCAGATCTTCATAGGCTGTACTTGCTCCTTGCTCGATTCTACCTGTAGTTGATTCTTGTCTTTTCGGTTAGCCACCAGGTAATGTTTAATGAGCTCGAGAAATTCGAATAGATCAAGCCGTAGACTCATTATTTTCTTTAAAGGTTTACAATTTGCTTCTCACTCATGACTTGCTAATTTCTTCGCTATAGAAAAGGACCCTACCAACTCGCAAAAGATTGCCTAAAGGCGATAATCATTTTGATTAATGTGGAGGGCATGAAAATCTTGTCTGGTGTGCCATCCATTTTTCGTAGCTTTCCTGAAGTCAACTTCAGCGAGTTTTCGTAGAGGATATGAAAGGTGGGGAACTAACTGCCACCTCAACGGTTGAAACCGACAAGCCAACAATAAGAAGCCAAAATATACATCCTCTTCCATCCAACTACCTTTCTTAGCCTACTGCTCAGTGCTTTTCGAGTGCTCACTTACTCAAAATGATCATGAAGCTTTCCATCATGCTCGTGAAGAAGTACTCCTCACGGCATTCTTGAAATTTAAAGTTAAAGATAAGTCAACAACCTCAATCTCAAAAATCAGAACGAAGAAAAGGAAGGAAGAAAGATGAGGCAAAAGCTATGGAAGTGTACAGTGGAAGACATTATAAATATATATGTTTATTATGTACATGACTGGGGGTTTCTAGTGTTTCATGGGAAGCAGAAGGACCCCTGGCGGCCTGGAGCCTTCATTGTTTGGCGGGGGACGGCGAAGAAGGCGCGTTCGCTTCCACCAGAATCGACCACAGCACGTGAACGTCCTCGCACGGGCATGATTTGACATCCTCGTACAGAATGTATATCCCTCTTCCTGTCACAGAACAATGCTGTCAACGCGTTCAGAGAGAGAGAGAGAGAGAGAGAGAGAGAGAGAGAGAGAGAGATTCTAAACAATGTGGATGTACAGAGAGCATGGAGACTAAAGCAATAGAAGCCACTCGACAATTGAAAAGACTGAAGAAAGTAACGGAAACGAAAAGCCTATATGAAGATGATGAGTCCATATGCAGGACTCAAACTGCCATTTTAGCTGATAAATGGCGATGGTTGCAGAGCTGCACAAGGCAAAAAACAAGAAATTTAGTCGGGCGGCGATGAGAACATACTCTTGTTCAGAGGCGAGTGGAGACGAAACCACAGCTTCTTCAATGGAGAGAGGAGGGACTGAAGCCACCCCATGAGGAGTAGTAGTGAGGGGCGTGGCTCATGTGTGGGGAGAACCGAACATAAGACCCGAAGCGTATGAGAAAGAGGTGGGGAGAGAGAGCAGAGAGAAAGATAAATAGGAGACGGTGGTTTTTTTGCGTCGACGAAGGGTGAACTCTACATCATCACTACCCGGGGTGCATCCGAGACACCCTTTTCGCATCCCCTTGCGGTCCAATCATGCACACATCACAAATAAGTTTTTTTAACTCTTGTTGCAATGTCGTTGTCAAAACCTTTCTCTCTTGTGCTACAAGGATCCCGCCCCCCCACCAATCCCATACATTTACTCTCCACCCTTCGGAAATGAGACCTTGCCTCCTCCTCGTTTCGCTATCGAACCCTTCACTTGTACCTCAAGCCTCGCTTTCTCTCTTTTTTCCTTTTCAAGTTTTTTAGGTTTCGAGGGTTCAATAGTATTAAAGTTTAGTGAAAGTGAAATGTGGGGGCTCTGTTTTGCCTTATACCATTTTGGGGTCACCCCTCTTGTGTTCGAAGCCTCGTAGAAGAGTCCTTGGCAAGGTTCTTCTTCCCAGAAGTCCAATTGTCCATTTGGATTGCCTTGGAAGAGTCAGAGTGTCAGCCGTTTCTTTGCTTACCCCAAAAGCTGACTCGCTCTCCTTTTTTGGCATCACTCCTGATTCGACTCCATCTTTATCAATTTCCCCTAATATCAGGAAGTTTCTCTGGTTAATCTTTAAAAAAAAAAAAAAAGGGGTGAATCTATGTTAGACGTAGGACATACTAAGGTAATACCAATAATATCGACGTTTGATTTTCTAAAGCTCGCGACTAGATATGATAATAGCGATTGATTTATCTCCCCCTGGTGTAAAGGCAAGATTTTATCACGACATTGGAAGGGGGTCCTAGAAATCTCTGCAGCGAACCATGTATGAAGTGAGCATGTATGAGCATTGGATGACTCAATTAGACAACCGATTAGAAATTTTAGAACATTGTCGTCTAAGTTTCAATGCCTTCTTTAGGCATATTGTATTGTCCAACAACTGCCACTTTCGCTTGTATATTAGTACATACACACGAGTATGTGCAGGGGAAAAAACATCATTCTCGTTCTCTGATTCACCACCAACCTGAAACAGACAGCTATCCACGTCAAGGAACAAAAGCATTGTTGACCAACTTGGTTTGGAAGATCAATTTGCGAACTGATCCAATAAGACTGAAGGCCCAATCTCCATGATGAAGTTTCCAGGGCAATTCTCGTGGACATCCAGCCCATATTGTTTGCCACGACGAAGAATGTAAATTCACTTCATTGATTTATTTTTGTTATTGCCGGTTGAAAAATCCTGAATAAACAATAGGATGTTTGCATAAGTTAGAAGCGGAAGAAGGTCCTGAATAATTATACCATGTTCACCTTCACCACAGGTCTTGTTAGAGTGTCGTGGTGCAGTTATTGCATAAAATACTTAAATTCTCGCGCATGGCACGAATTGCACAGAAAGTCTAGCGCTGGAGATTATCAGATTCAATAAAAACCTTGTTTGCTTTCTTTAACAAGATCTCGCTTTCATTGTTCATAAGTTTTTGTGAGCGATAGTTCTAGCCAAAAAATTTAAAAAAAAAACGAAAAAACAAAAAGAGACAAAAACCTGGGAAGAGGACACTTAGTACATGATAAAGTATATAGTTTTGTTTTGCCGAAAATGGTTCGTCGATGACATATCTTTCACCAAAATTGGTTCTTTGATTATTATTAAGAGGAGACGGGTTTTATGGTGATTCCGGACATGAGTCTTAATGAATCACAAGGAACATGAATGCTTTGTACAAGAAGTAGAAATAATCGACGACAAAGTGTGATGATAAAGATACAACACTGAAATTTAATTAACAACGAATGTCTGAAAATTACGATTAAGATATAAGCCGGAATTCAATTGATAACGAAGTATCTGAAACCACGGCTAAAGTACAGGAATTGAAAGATATAAAATTCTGGAAAAACAAATATAAAGATAAATTTGCGTGAACTTGAGTTCATTGATTGATTTTTTCTTTGTCAAATTTCATTGATTGATTGAGGGGGTGGGGTGTTTATAACCTTTACAAACGGTGGTTACACAGGGCTATTACTAAATTTGAAAGAGCAAATAGCTCTCTTTTGATAGTTACCGGAAGTTACTTCACGAATGGATATGACACAACTAACCAACGGTTATTTTCATGTCGATTGCTTGCCGTCGATATCAATGACTTTGTCGAGAAACTTCAAGACACTCATCGGTAACTTCACGTTGTGTTGTCAATGACTTCACTAGTGAGCTGTCGATTCCCTTCAAGTTATCGGTAATTCTATTAATAAATGACCAGACTCTGCTATCATCGACTAAGTTTATCATCTGTCGATAATAATCAAAAGCCGGTCATTTTTTGGTGTAAACAAGTTTCTTTCCGTTTTCAATATGTCTCAATACGATAAAATTTTCTCTTTATAAGTAAGAATAGAAATTTTTGTGGAAGAAGCAATTAGGTGAGTGCACTGCCCAAATTACCGTTTCTAATATGGATGTATAAGATGAAAGAAGGTGGTGGGAAAGAGACTACGCTTATCATTTGGCCCGATTCATCCCCAAGTTCAATTGCCTTGTGCTTAAATTGAAATATAACATTATTATTGTTGCCTGTAATTGAACTTTAATTCGATTTGACAGGCATGAAGTAGAATTGACGAAACGGGATATCGGAAGGGTTTTCCGACTTAAGATGTTAATAAGCAAAATTGCCTGTCAAGTACTTACAACTAAATGCTTGCTGAAAAAGATGAGTATTAAGGATGACATATCCCTTGTAGTTACGCTTAGGACAAGTCCTCCATGACCATTCGGAATTAGCCAACTCCGAGCAATTTGAACATAACAAAATGGATTGATGGAGTACCCTGCCCTGTCCCAGTAAACACTTTGATTTGGAATCTCATGATTCGTCTTCCTTTTCCAGGGCCGCTGCTATTATTTTGAATCAACTTGTGAATATCTACAAATAAGTCTCCAAAATTCATATTCATAAGCCAATAAAAAGATCGTGAAAAAAGCGTGGGCAAGTAGAGAAGGCAAATGACATCCTACCCTGTTCGATGGATCATAGTCAAAGCATGTGTGATATATCAAAATCATTGGCATGATCATGTTCGGATCCAAACTTTATCTTAGTTCAAATCCTAGGAAATGTTTTTACTACCGTTTTTTCTCTGCAGTTTCTCATTAGTTCTTCATTTTTTTTTTCACCAATACAACTAAAAAATTACATTTTATTTCAGTAGTATTCGGCAAATAAAGAGAAGGAATCTGTTAAATTTTTAATCTGGCCAATATTCGGCTTGTGCGGCCCAAGCTAAAAAACGAAATAGTAGTCTAAGCCCATCTAAATGCACTTTGAGCCTAACAGGCCATGGGTGCTGTCAGCCCATTGACCAGATGCACATGAAAGTCATCATGAGCTAGTTACTCATGCAACGGGCCACAGCTGACAAACTTGTCTTAAGATGTACTGCTCATGATGGCCACTTTGACCTCCTCAGATATAAGTCTCATTACTTGAAGGATTAAGTTCATTGTCCTTTCACTATCACTTGTTATGACATGTTATGTTATATAGTAGAAATTCATGTCCACTCAAAATCTTAAACAAATAAGTTATGAAGTGACTAAACATATAATTGGTTTACAGAATTTATCCGATATGGATTTCGTTTCTTTAACACCCTCATACGTTCATCTTCAACATCGTGTTGTGACCGATCGCAATTATTTATTCAAAATTTTAAAATAATTGCATCTCTTGTTAGAGACTTGTGATGAAGTTATTACATACGATACTTCCTCACTCGAGAGTCAGGACCAGACATAGAAGTACAACAAAAGTTTAGAGATCGAGATCAACCACGGTGCTTCATTTTCAAAAATCAAACTTCCCAATATGTTCATGCTTTGAGGGAGGAAGGGCAGAATCAGATGAAAGAGGAAATGCATCATCTGGTTTGCGGGCCTTCTCTTGTGCGAAACAGAGAAAGTCTCAACAGATGAAGAATAAAAAAATAGAAGAGCAGAGATCTATTGTTTTGTGCCAAAAATACCGACCTTCCATCTGATAAATTTCAATAAGAAATGATAATAGAGCCAATAATTTTCTACACGACACGACATGCAGTTAAGCGTATTCGGGTTGAGCTTAAATGGGTGGGTATCATCAACGGATCAACCCGTTTAAATAGAAATAATAAACGCGTCGTTTGAGCGTTGACCCTTTTAACCCATTTACGGCATGTCAAGACACGTTTAATTTATTGATTTCTAAAATAAATTCATGTTGAATGTTTGATAATTGCATGCTAGAGTTTGAAATTTGATATTAAACAAGTTTTTCGATTTTTTTATCTTGAAATTGGGCTTTCATCGATTTCGGCCCCACTCGGATCAAACCGATTCACCTTTGTTCTGCCCAAATAAGGATGATCAGGCCTAAGGACGAGGTCCAAAAAAAGTCAAGGCTCAGTCTTGTTGAAGACCCCCCAACACTTGCCCCCTTACACGATGAATTTCACCTTGACACATCAGGGACAATTCTTACACACATCGAGGAGAAGAATATAACTCACTACAATTGCAATGCTTGTGCTGCGACACTCGAGATGTTCTAGTCGAATTCTAGCTTCATCCAGAACATGCTCTAAAATTGACGGTAGATTTTGTAGGATCGTTGCTATCCGTTCTAAAAGTTTAAATTATTAAATAAAGGCACGATTCAACTATTAAATATTCTAACATTAGTATCTAGCACAAGATAAGATGTGATTAGCATCCCCTCACTTTAACGTCTCGCGAAAATGATCGTGAATTGCAGTGCCGTCATGTATGCGAGAAGGAAAGAGTCCGATGACTAGATTTCTTATTATTTGACATGCATTATCAAGCTCATATTACCTTCGTGCATCCCTGAGTTCCTTCCCCATTCCGAAAACATTTATATGCACATGAAAGGCAAGTAGTTAATTTTCGAGATTCCCTTTAGTCACTTGGCGATCTGAACACAGAATATGAGGTATGTAGATGACTTTTATGATCCTTGGAAGCTCCTGAGCCCCGTAAGTGGCCTGTCCAATTGTTAGGGACTAATTGCAATCTCATGTGGCAGGTATAATAGATTCTCGAAAGCTTGCAGTAGCCAATATTCGCGAGTTGCAACTCACAAATATCCAAATAAGTAGGGGTGTGCAACTGGACCGGGTTTACCCGGAAACCGGACCGGCCCACCCGAAAAACAGGTCCGGGAACCGGTTTTAACAAGAACCGGTCCTCGAATTGGTTCCATTTTTTTGGAACCGGTTATGACCGGTCCGGTTTCCAGTTCCAAGTAAAAACCGACCCGGACCGGTTTTAGAACCGGTTTTGAGATAATATAAAAAAAGTAAAAACCCTAGATCACGTTACCCTATCCGGCTGCCCAGTTTGTCTCTTACAGTTTGTCTCTTCTCTTTTCGCGACCTCTTCTGTCTCTCACGGTTTCTCTCTTCACAAGCGCCTCCTTAGTTGCCGTAAGAACGCAACCCAGCTTGTCGCCTGCCTGCGTGTTGAAGAGGGCTAGGGTTCGGCCATCTCGGCGTCCGTACCGTGCATGTGTTTTTTCCGCCTTTTTGGCTCACAAATCCGGTAGATCTTTTATTTTGAATCGTTTCATTACTACCTATATTGTTTTGCTGGAAAAAAATGAAACCAGAAAAAAGAAAAAAAAAATAGGTTCTCGAGTAGACCCTGAAACCGAACCGAAAAAACAGGGCCGGTTCCAAAATAGTGTCTGGGGAAAACAGGGTAATTTTCAGGTTCCAAAAATTGGGAACCGGTTATAACAGGGTTGGTTTCAGGTTCCAGATCTGGACCCAACCCACCCTGGAATCGATTACCCCTACAAATAACCACACGATGTTAGACAAAAGCTCAAGTCTCTTAGCTTCAGGTTTGATTTGCCACTTACTCTACTTTCATCAGCATTACAGTTTATATGGTGCAGATTTAAAAATTAGCCCCTTCTTTTATAGTGTTTCATTTGTTTGTATGTGTCTTGTATAGGCCGAAACCTTGTGCATACAATTCTCTTTATTCTTATGTCCAATGGCGAATAGGCAATCTATCTACTGTTTCAAATGAGAGCTACACTGCTAAAATTCGCGGTAAACATTTTCCGTGGAATGGTTCAGAGATAGTAGCGGTTGATCGTGAATCTATTGACTGGAGAACAGACGTGATTTGGAAAGTCCAGGTCGTTTCCTTTTCTTTTTTTTTTTGAGTGACTTTCTGTTTATTTGTTTTGATATGATGTGCAGAATGTATTGATGAACACTTTACTACGCTATTGTCGGTATCACACATAGTATAGTTGGTGGTTTTGAGTCTTTTGAAAGGTTTGTTCTTTCTAGAATTAAATAATGCGACTTGGTTTAGTCGGATTAGTTGGTGCATGGGAACCTTTTTTGGTCCCCTTCTGCCATGGCACGTTTTCTTGTTAATTAAACAGAGTTGGGTGGACTAAAACTTCAAGGTAATTCTTCCTTCATTAGATTTAGATTGATATCTTCATTTAAAACAGTTTTAATGCAATTAATGGAAAGCATGCTTCTTACGGACGAGATTGAAAGGATTAAAGAAAGTTTAGGGCAATTATAGAAACTTTTATTCTTAACGGGAGCAAACACTTTCATTCTTACCGTGTTGCAGATTAGGTGCAACCACTGAAATAAGCATTTTGTCATCTGTGACGTTTCCACGTTTGAGGTTATCAAAACAACGCTTGTCTTTCACTTTTGTTTTTAGTTGTTTTCGTTGGAGAAAATGACAAATGATTCATGAACTTTGGCCTAATGTGTAATGTAGTCCTTGAAGTTTTAATTTGTTTAATGTGGTACCTGAACTTTTGATACATATTTAATCTAGTATTTGGACTATATGAAAATGTTCAATATTGTTTCTGAATTTAAATTAATTAAAGGATATCATTAAACATTTTCATATAGTACCTGAACTTTTGATACATATTTAATCTAGTATTTGGACTATATGAAAATGTTCAATATTGTTTCTGAATTTAAATTAATTAAAGGATATCATTAAACATTTTCATATAGTTCAAGAACTAACTTGAATATGTACCAAAAGTTTAGAGATCACATTGAATAAATCAAAAGTTCAGGATCCACATTGCACATTGAGTCAAAGTTCAAGAACTATTTGTATCCTTATCCCTTTTTGTTTCTTCCGTTTGGCATTGAAATTTTCGGAAGCTCTTTCTTCTTGGACGGGTACGTGGTTTCTCCAAAAAATTTCAGCCGAGGTAACAGGAGTTTATTTCCTATTTTTCACGCACCAAATCTCATCAACCATTCAAACTTTCGTAGTTAACATTGGATCGGGGTTTGTTCTTTTTGTTTTTTTGGTCATAGGTCGGGGCTTGTTCACCTACTCAAACTCGAGACATAATTTAATACTTCCTTTGTTACATGTAGCCGTAGGAAAATAACTAAAAAATTTCTAAACCTATTGCATTGGTACCAATTAAGTCCTAGACCTTTCAATTATACCAATTTAGTCCTAAACATTTTCATTTTGGTACCAATTCAATCTATCCGGCCAATTTAGGCCGGAAATCTCTGACGTGGATGTCAGCCATCCTATGTGGCACGGCCAGCACTACTTTTGTGAATATTTTTAAATAATTTTTTGATTCTCTTCTGCATTAGAAACTTCCACAACTACCATAAGCGTGTTGGCTAGTGCCGGTTGTCAATAAATTATGAGTTAATCCATGACATATTCCCATAGATTTATCTAACGCATTCAATAGATGTGCTGTAACGACCCGGTCCGACAAGGGCGGGGAGTGATCGCCGGGGCCGGTGGATTCTGGCCTGAGCAAGGAGCGGCTTCTGGCAGGTTTTTAGGATGGCAAGGAGGCATGTCTCTTGTCGCACATCGCCTAGGAGGGGAGTCCTGGGCTAGTTTATAAGGCTTTGTGTTTTATATTTGTATAACGCGTTTTAAAGCCGTGAGGGTCAGTAGGCCCAAAGCGGACAATATTACACAGTGATAGACCCCGAGTCCTTACATGTGCCCTTTTACCGGTAAGCACGGCTCCTCATCATCTCAAATTGATGAATAAGCCCTGTTCATGTTACCTCACTTTTAGTTTCGTCATTGCTTACGACTGCTTAGTCATAAACTAGTAATTAATTTATAGGCACTTGCACGGGAAGAATCAAACGATCAGACAAAGGTAGGCTCAAAGTTAATTTATTATTTCATCTTTGGACGAGTTAAGATGTCCATATCGTCAAGTTTGAGGTTTTGTTTGTTTCGCGAAAAATATGATATTTTTAGAAAATATTTTCCAAGAAGTCTTTTTGCAAAAAAATGGCAATATTTTCTAGTATTTGGCTAAAACCTACAAATGAACTAAAAAATATTTTCCGTTATTTGATAAGGAAAATCTAATTTTATTTTCCTAAATAGACATACATTATTCGGATATTAATGACTTGTACCAAGGTCTCAAGTGTGGCCTTAATGGACCCTGAGTCAGGCGTCGAGGACCTGAACTCAGGCACCTGTGTCTCGGACATGAGCATGGGCATCGATCCCAGGTCCACAAAAGTCGAGCCCGAGAACTCGGTGCCTATGCTTGACCCCTAGGTGCCCCGGCTTGAGTCCACAGAGGCTGGGCCCAAGGATCCGGTGCCCATGCCCGGATCCCGGCACCTGAGCCACCGAGGCTACCTCGGGTCCACAAAGGCCGAGTGGGGGACCCTAGTGCTCGGGCTCGGGAACCTAGTGCCCATGCCCAAGTCCCTGGGGCTTGAGCTTGAGTCCTTCAAGCCCGAGCCTAGCCTTGATGCTTTGGTCCATCAAGGCTAGGCTCGGGCTTGGCATCGGGGTTCGGGCCGGCCTCAATGGACTTGGCACCTAGGTCCCAAGCCCGGCCTTGATGGATCATGGCGTGAGCTCCGAGGTCCTAGGCATCGGCCTCGATAGACATTAACTCGGGCACTAGAGTCCCAGGCCTCAATAGACACTGACTCGGGCACTGGGTACTTAAGCCCCGAGTGTGGAGGACCCGGGCTGGCCTTTGTGGACCCGGGCTGGCCTTTGTGGACCCAAGCCCAAGCTCTGAGGATCTAGGCACCGGTACTGGGATCCTGCGCTCGACCTTTATGGACTTGGTCCTTGGTGCCGGGGCATCGGGCACCAGGGCCTCGGGCCTTGCCTCGATGGATCCAGGAGGGGCGCCGGGGACCTAGGCACGGCAATGGGGTCGTGGGTCTGACCTCAGTGGAACCAGGCCTAAGTGTCGAGACCCAAGAACCAGCGTTGAGGTTCCCATAACAAAGCGTAGAGTTTTTGGTTGAAGCATCAATTTCTAGTTATATTTTGGAAAATGATTTCTGGTTTGTTATAGAGGAAAATTATTTTCCTAAATTTAAGCATATATTTTCTAAGCGATCTAAACGACGGAAAATGAGAAAAGTGTGTGCTTGGAAGATATTTTCTGCTAAACAAACGGAGTCTCTATGTGACCAAATTAAAATATAAGTTTGAAGAAAAAACCAGATTTTCATATGATAATTCATAGTGTCTACCTATTAGCAGAGGTTGATGAAAATAGGTCAGAGTAAAAATAGAAGTTAACAGGAGCGACGTATGTGGAGCAATCATGTGCTTGCATATGAGAAAACACATGGAGCAATCATGTGCTTGAAGACAACGATAAGTTTTCCCATTCATCCGCAACTCCATTGATTACAAAATTTCTCCCGAATGATAAAAAAACGGATGGAGCTCTTCGACTCTTTCCCATGAAATAAGAAATAGTGAAAGCCATAAATTTGACTCCCTCTTCTCGTGAAATACAGTTGACCCGTATCTTTCGGGTGAGCAGCATCGCATGCATTGACTTTTGAGGGCGAGAGGTCCAGCAGAAGAGGGCCATGACTCAACGCATGCTCACCTTCTCCCGGTCAACAAGTTAGCAGTTCATCAATGGACGTCTGATTGAGGTGAAGAATTATTTAACCAATGATGTTGTCGCTATATATTATATGTCCAGCTTGACCATTAGATCAAATTTTAAGAGCACATCTCATTTTCTGATATCTGTTCTTTTGATATCACAATACTCAGCAATCACGGTTCTTGTCGTCGTCTATAATTAGTCAAGACTTGGCGGTTCCTCAGCATCCCCTCCCCACCATGTCTCGCCCAAGCCCTGAGATCCACCCCCGCTTCGCCACCCCCGAGTCCCTCTCCGACTGGCTCAAGCCTCGGCTCCCCTCCGGCTCCTTCGCCTCCTGGGGCATCGAGCCCGGCACCAAGAATGTCCACAACCTCTGGCTCGAGATCTTTGAGGGCGAGACCTCGCTCACCGACTCCGTTCGCCCAGTCCGCACCGTCAATGTTGTCTCACTCCGTGTCATCAGGGCCAACGGTCAGGTTCTCGTCGAGTCTCACCAGGAACTATCCGATGGCAGTGTCCGCCATCGGTGCCTGCTCTTGTCGGAGAAGATGAAGCCAAGCGAGACGCCTGAGATGGCGGTGACCAGGGCCGTGAGGGAAGAATTGGGATCGGTGATTCGGGTGGAGGTTGAGAATATTGGGGATGTCGTGAGGATTGTTCCGGGATCATATAAGAGGAAAGTGGATGAGAAGAATTCAATGTCTTATCCGGGATTGCCGGCGCGTTACATATTGCACTCGTTCGAGGTGGAGGTCGAGGGACTGCCGGAGGACTCAGAGTTCTGCACGGAGGAGGAAGAGGAATATGAAGGTAGAGGTGATGCAGGCGTTGCGAACAGGGCGGTTTCTGTGAAGAGGCATTACTGGAAATGGGTGAGTGCAGATTCTATTGAATCTTGAATTTTAGTTTTTTGGTTGGAGGGTTGGGAGTTTTGGCTCTTCAATTTGACAATGTTGGTGTTTTTTTGCTTGCTTTCTTTTCTATTGGGATAAATTGTATTTGAAGTTTTAAAACTTGTTACAAAAGTACAATCGAATCCTAAAAGTTTGAAAAAGCGCAATCAAGTTTTAAAAGTTATCACGAAAGTGCAATCGGATCTAAGTCTTTCAAAAGGCGCAATCCACCAAAGGACTTGATTGGACCAATTTGTTAAATTTTAGAATTTGATTACACTTTTTGAAAGTTTTAGTACTTAATTGCACTTTCGTGACAAGTTTTAGGATTTAATTGAATGTTGAAAGTTTTAGAACTCATTTGCACTTTCGTGATAAATTTTAGGATTTTTAATGCACTTATTTCTTTTCTATTTTTATGTGTACGATAGAGAATAAGACACGATTCGATAACGGATGAGGTTGAGCCTTACTTGAGCTCATCAAGATGGTTGTGCTCTGGTAAGAACTTGCATCTTCAGATGGAGTGATGGTTGTTACAAAGCTTTTTTAGCTCATGATGAGCCTCGTGTAAATTCGCTCGTGACATCTTATTTAGTGACATGATGAGCTTCAGTAATGTGATTTCAGCGACTTGGAAAGCGCTGACCGAAATGTTGCCATCATCTCTATCCCGACGCTTGTATGTATCTACGAATTTTGGCCACTTGTCTGATATATGCCCTGACAGCATTTGTCTTTTATTTGCTTTTATTTCATTTCTTGGCTTGCGCATCGCAATTTCCTTAGATGTTTTCACAGACAGACCTAGCCTAACGACAGAAAATTCGTTTCAAATTTTATAAAAAAAGAGTCTGTATATGCAGATTAGGTTGTCCAATACAAAAAAGAAATGCCATGTTGATTATCTTCTTACTATCCTTGACGTGCATAGATAACCTAATTTTCTTGCGCAAGTGATAAGAGGATATCACATCATTGCGCTAGCAACAGGGAGTTTACCGCTTGAGCATTTGGTTTGCAATGTTTAAGCGCATTTTCAATTTGTATAGTAGAGATCGCAGGATCAAAGTGTGTAGGCGAAATCCCAATAGCGTCAAGATAGGGAATGAATTAAAGGAGGAAACTTCTATGGTGCAATCTCTGTTAGAAAATTCAATTTTGAAAACTTAAACTGATTAGTGAAGGGAGACAACATGAATATAAAAATTATATAAGCCCATTGTTAAACGATGTGGCATATTTCAATTCCCCTCTCAAGTGCAAACTAGAATAGGAGTGGCGCATAAAATTTAATTAATGAGAGTGGACACATACGCGAAAGAGGTGGAATCTAGCTTTGTTACAAGGATTTTGTGTGATTCGGATCCAATTTCTATTTCCTTTCATGTTTCAAACGAGGCCTCTCAGCATTAACATGCGGAAGACATATATTGGGGAATGTGGGATATTTCAACAACCACGGAATTTTGCATCACCCACTTTCATGTTTCAAACTAGGCCTCTCAGCATTAACATACCAATGTGCAGAGCAACAATGTGATTGCATCACCCAGTTTCATCTCAGCATGTAAAATAAGACATGGAGGTGGAAAAAACAAGGATAAGTTTTCCGATTCATCCGAAACTTTATTAATTGTCATGCTCTCCGTGGATCTAACAAAGAGTCATCGTCTGGTTTTATTTGATGGGAATGAACCAAAAATGGGCATAAACTAACATTTATAAAAATAAATGACATGCATATAATGAATTATCAAGATGATAGATTAAATATGCAAATTAGTAGAGTCATAGCATTGATTTTCAGTTACCAAATAATTTTGTGTCAAATTTATTGCGCCAAGCTAATGATTGACAAATATATATATATTTATTTATTTATTTATAGGCGGAATATGTTAGTATCACAACAGTTAAGAGCGGTAAATATAGCTAGTCCTCTTGTTAGAGTGGTAAATATTATAGGCCGATACATTACATTCATGTCCGATGCCTTTTAGGTTGGATGCGTTTTAGGCAAAGTAAATCATTTAAACTCTGGAATCCAAAGTGATAATTTGGCACTTATGAAATATTGTAAATAAATATTAGGGCGCATCAGACAAGAGAGAGCTTTGCATTGATGCATCCATGAGAAGCGGCGCAATCTAATGTGTATTTGCATGCAGAGAGAGAGAGAGAGAGAGAGAGAGAGAGAGAGCAAGGACATATAAGGGCCTGTGATGCATAGTTAAAAAGAGAGGGAGTAGGCACTGGGAGTGGCCAATCACTTAAAATGCAATTGCAATTGGCTCCGGCATACTAAGGCTTCATTTATTTTGCAAAAAATAAATAATTTGAAAAATATTTTCGTTAAATCGATTGCTTGTATCACTTAAAATAATTAGCCTATAATAATTTTCATTCATTTATTTTTTTATGTGATACAAGCTATCATTTATATATTTCGTGAAACAAATAGAGCTTAAAAAGTAACTTCAAAATATTTTGGAGGGCTAGGGCCACCCCATGACCCCAGGCGTTTTTCTATAATTTTTCCTAAAAAAAATTTCTAACTCCAAAATTCAGGAAAAATATTAAGCCTTTCTTGAGTGCCTGGACCATGACAAGTAAATATGAACCAATTTTAGGCCGGTTAAAAAACCAACGAAAGCACTGATTTTATAACCTAACGTGCAATTTTTTATCGTACTTCAATTTCCTTTTCTGCAGTCAAGATTCCAACACGCTTCAGATTCCTCGTACGTTCTTTACTTTTGTTCGCACTTAGTTTCACGTAATATTCACGTAATTCACTCTACCGCTCACTCATTCCCTGCACTTTGAGTGAAGGTGAGAAGCCAATGTGTAATCTTGGTTGCTCTCTTTCTGATTTGAAGTTCGAATCGCCTCCGTGTAACACATTTTTCTGCAACACCAGCATTGAAAGATGGCAGATATCTTTGCTTAGGCGCATCAAGCCTAGCACTTTAATTTTCAAAATCCAGTTGGCTTTTGGGTAACCACCTTGAGGTTACACGAGATTTTCGTCGATTTACTTTGAGGCTGATGAGAAGATGCAAGAGCCTGTCCTCCTCCGTTGCTTGTCTAAATGTAATAATTGATCTGATCTTCACTAGTCCATTTTTTGTGTATATAAAAAATCAATGTGAATTTAAATCAAATTGATAAAGAGTTCCGGTCTTCCACGCATCCGATTTTCCTTCTACATTTAGGTAGCTCAATGCATATTGACGTCCTCATGTTTTGTAGACCGTTCATCTTCTACTTGGTCTATCTAAACTTTTCAACACCATCCGCAAGGTCCATCCAAGCTTACTGACGTCTTTATGTCCTCTAGTTTGTTCACTTTCTATTGATCCATCCAAACGCTTTTGACGATCACAACTTTTCTAGTTTGTTCCCCCATCCACAAGGTTCTTGCTAACATTGACATACTCCTCGTCCAACAACTTGTTCACCATTTACAAGGTCCATCCAATAATCAACATATCTTACGTCCAATAATTTGTTCACCTTCTGCAGAGCAAAGGTTGTTCAACATTCTTACACGTCCTGTTGCTGACACTATCAGCATATGAATCTGTGTATGTAGAGGTGGTATATTTTGCAGACTCAATTACACAAGTTAGTATACTCAAAATGTTGTCATTCTCAAAACGCTATAGAGATTTCCCTAACAACTGGACCCAATAGATCTGAGCCAGATTGATAGGGAGCTGAAGGTAGAAACTCTTTGATACAGATTCCAGAAGCAGGCATATTGATCCTATTAAAAGCTCTTTCCCAGGAAGACCAAGCAATGGTACTTAGTAATTATGTTACAGGAGAAAAGATGAAGATTACTTAATTTGGCCATGGAACAAGGATAGCAGATTCTCAGTCAAATCTGCCTACCATTTTGCTACACAGAAGAAGAAGAAGAGGCAAATGCCTATGCCATGATCTTCCAGTTCCCCCATTGTTGATAGTAAAGTATGGCATTTAGTGTGGACTGCAGACTGTCCCCTGAAGATGATGCACTTTCTTTGATGCTACGTTCTGATATTGTGCCCACTGCTGCAATTGTCTTAAAAGAAGAGCAAAGTTTCCCATAAATGTGTTTTTCTTCACAAAAATGAATACACTGAGCATTTGACCCTTAAGCGTGAATGGTGTAGGTGCATATATGGTTTGGCTACTTGGGGATTGGAATTAACTGTCGAATATCTAATTCGATCCTATCAACGATGCAAGAAAAGTAATGAAAATTCGCACAACACAAGAATTTACGTGGTTCAGCAGGGGAGATGTTCCGCCTACCTACGTCCACGGGGAGATGAGATCTGTTTCACTAATAACGTAGAAAAGTGTACAGCCGCTCTTTCTCACTCCCTCCTTCTCTTCTTAGAGACCTGTTTCGCCTTAAACATATATAGCGAAACCCTACATGGCACAAATTACAAAATTACCCACATAGCCTAAAATATTTAGCTTTTCCATATAACAGAATACAAGACATCATCCTCAACAATCTCCACCTTGGCTTGATTTCTGTAAAGCCACCTGTGAAAGAATATGAAATATAGATGTCTTCATCCCCGTACCTCCATAAGAGGTACACTCCTGCACTTATTGAGTTAGTCCCTCACCTTCAACAGCGCGTTATATTAATTGAGCCCAAACAGGACCCAAACTTCTCAATAGTGACTGGCTTGGTAAAACAATCTGCAGGATTGCTATTCGTGTGAATCTTCCGCAAGTGAATGCTGCCATCTGACACAAGCTCCCTGATTTTGTGAAACTTCACATCTATATGCTTTGTTCTTGCATGAAATACTTGATTCTTGGCGAGATGTATGGCACTCTGACTGTCACAATGTAACACCGCACCTCCTTGCTCTAAACCCAACTCACGAACCAACCTAGTCAACCAGAGCCCTTCCTTAGCAGCTTCTATAACTGCCATGTACTCTGCCTCTGTAGTAGACAATGCAATTGTGGACTGGAGCATCGCCCTCCATGAGATAGGTCCACTAGCTAATGTGAAGACATATCCTGTAGTAGACCTCCTCCTGTCTAGGTCACCAGCAAAGTCTGAATCAACATATCCCGCTAACTCCTTCGAACATCCGTCGCGACTGA